TGCTGCATGCCTGGTGTTTCAGGTTTCTTCTGGGTCTTACAAGTGTCACTGGTCTTGTTATGGACTTTCCTGGGGGAGTTAGGACTGCTTGCAAGTGCAGAAAGTATATGAGAAGACTGGTGATGCCTGGTCTGCATCCAGTACTTCAAAACATAGAAGTTTGTGTGAAAATGGAGCAGTTATCTAGAAGATAACAGCAGGAGATTGCTGCTAATAATTCTCCGCAATGAATTATTATCTCCACACTCTGGAGAAGGCAGATGGGCTACAACTGGGACCATTGTTCTATCCTAATACTAGTTGTGTTGCTTTTGCATTACATATAATGCCTGCTGCGTTACACTTACACTTGGAGACTTAGCTAGGACTCTGCTGTGCCAAACACTGTATTAAAGCAAGGAAAACAAGTCCCTGCTCATACATATATATATATATATGTATTTGCTTAAATAAGGCAGATGAGAGTAGAAGAATGCAAATACAATTTTCTGTTGATGTTTCGAATGGCAAATGCTGGTAAGTTTTGAATTTGGTGCACTGAATAGGATTTTATTTGACAGTGAATTTATTTCAAGATGTCAGCCAACTACAGATCATTCTGTGGGACGCTCTTGAAGTGGCAAAAAGTCAGCTGTGGGTTTTTGGAGAGCTGTGCATGTGTGAGAGGTATGTATTTATGCAGGAACCTTTGTGCTGGAGTAACCAATCTGCATTCAGGCCATAGGTCTCTGGCACATCCTCTGTCTTCCTGCTTCCGTCAGCTTGGTCAGCCTTCATGACATCAAATGGATTTCCTGCTGAGCTGTCTCTCAGACACAGTTCTTTGCACTCATACCATGTTGTCCATGTTCCTTGAGCTAGTGTCCTAGCCAGACAGTAAGTGTTGGGGCTTCCTAAAATCAGAGCTATTACACATGGCCCTTATATACTGATCTGCAGTCTACTGATACTGTCACAATATGATTGTGGTCATGAGTGTATTTCCTGTGTGGTTCCTGAGGGGAAGAGACTCCTGGTCCACATTACCTCTGGCACAGAAAGGAGATCCTTCTTGTTGTGAGTGCTGCACATGAAGCAGGTAGCCCCTCTCTCATTTCTTGCTTGCTTATGTTTTGACTGTTCTTTACCCTCCCATCTCTTTTTGCCCCCTTTCTAGCCAGTGCCTTCTCAAGAGGCAGAATCTTCTGGCCTGGTAGGGCTGAATTTTAGATTCTTTACAAAGTAAAGATTTGGTTGCCACCTCCTACACGTTTTCCTTCCTTTAACCTACTGCCCTCTTTTTCTGGTTTCTGGTCTCCCACTACTGTTACCCACCTTGTGTGTTTCTTAGTGTTCTACTCTTCTTTGCTGCAGAGAGGAGAAACTACTGAATTTTGTTGGCAATTGCTATTAAGCCTGTTTGTAGCAGGGTGAGCCAGGAGGAACAAATGTAAGAGCAGGCTATGTCTCATGGACTGAATTAGCTGTGCAGCTTGCTGGATTTTGTTTTTGGTTTTGTTTTTTGCCGGGGGGGAGGGGAAGGGTATCAATTAATGTTAATTTAGAAATGGAATAATCTCAGCTGTGATCTAAAACAGCTAAATTGCTTGGATTGTGTCACTTGAGATGTTTGCTTCCCTGTAGAAGAAGTCTTCTGCTAATGTGCCCTTTTGCAGGCGTTTGTCTAGATGTGTCATCAGTCTGGAGAGGCTTGTTTTAATGCTATCTGCACTCTCAGTGCTAAGATAGAAAGAATTCAAGTGTTTAGTAATCTCCAAAAAGGTAGGTTGAAAAAATGTCTTTCTTTGTTCCTTTCTCTAATGCTAGCTGATAGTATTGGTGAAACTACATTCTGGGAGAAGGCTTATTTACTTCAAGAATAGATGGCTTCATAACTTTATTCCTCAAAACTCTTCTACTCTAGTTTAAAAGGTGGATATTCCTAAACTGAACTTATGTCAAAACCAAATGCTTGAGTTCAGGAAGTGCTGTGCACTGTCCTTCATTCTCTGCTATGAAAACATGACTTTCTTCTCTAACTTCTGCCTTGACGTGGGCTGTGTCTCAGGATAGTTGCTGTGGCTGTTGTGAAACAGTGGTGCTTCGCAAGCCTAATGATATTACTTTCTGCAGGAGGAGCATCTTGTAAGCTTTCCCTCTTTGTGCCAAAAAGCTGGGTTCTTTGCTGTTTCCACTACACCAGAAAATTTCAAAGAAGACATTTCTCAAAGAGGTCAAATAGCCTTATCGTGTTGTATTCATGTACCTGTACATTTTATTAATCTACAGTTGTCAATTCAGTTGTGCCATTGCAACAGTTACATTTCATTAAGGTGTTGATTTCATTTGGAATCATGTTCTGTCTAGATGACTTCACAAAGCTGGATGGTCTTTAAGGTTCCTTCCATACCAAGAGATTCCGTGATTCATTTAATTGGTGAATCAGATGATTAAAGAAATGCAGTCCCAAACACCAGTACAGACTGAGTGATGAATGGACACAGAGCAGCTCTGCAGGAAGGACTTGGGGGTTCTGGTGGAAAAGCTCAACAAGAGCAAGCAGAGTGCATTTGTGAGCCTGGAAGGTCAACAGTATCCTGGGTTGCATGAAAAGATGGGTGACCAGCAGGGCAGGGTGAAGGAGGTGGTTGTCCCCTTCTACTCTGCCCTTGTGAGGCCTCATCTGGAGTTCAGGCCTGCAGCCCCCAGCACAAGAAAGACATGGAGTTGTTGGAGCAGCTCCAGAGGAGATCCATGGATATGATCCGAGGGCTGGATCATCTCTCCCGTGAAAAAAGGTTGAGGGAATTGGGTTTGTTCAGTTTGAAGGAAAGAAGGGTCCAGGGAGACCTCATTGCAGTCCGTACCTGAGAGGGTTTACAAGAATGATGGGAGGGACTTTTTTCAAGGGCATGCAATGATAGGACAAGAGATAATGGCTTTGAACTAAAATAAGGGAAATTTAGATTAGGTATTGGGAGGAAATTGTTACTCTGAGGGTGGTGAGGCCCTGGCGCAGGCTGCCCAAAGAAGCTGTGGGTGCCCATTTCTGGCGGCATTCAAAGTCAGGCTAGATGGGGCCCTGTCAGGAACAGTTAGCATACAGGAGAATATCTCAGGCAGTAAGGCTTTTTGATGGAAGACAACAACGGTGGTAAATTCTTTACTGAGCATTATGCATTTGTGCAGACTTGGATAACTTAGAAATGTGCTTTGTGCACATTTGTGCAAATTGCGCATGATGCTTTCTCGCAGTCAGTATCTGCTGGCAAATTCAGCTTAGTACTTTGGTTCCAGGCTCTCAAGAAAGCAAGGAATTTCAGAACCATGATATTAAAAAAAAAAAAAAAAAAAAAAAAAGTATTTAAGACAAGGAGAAGGACTGACTGAGCCTGGTAGGTTTAAGACCTGTAGGAGAGACTTGACCTGGCAGGGAAATGCCAGCTCCATGCTAACCAGTCTCTTGGTTGTTCCTTTCCTTGTTGGTGTCACAGTAGTGGTGGATCTTGAAGGGAAGACTCTGAAATGAGCTGGAAATTGAAGTGTTGTCAGATGAACGAGTCTGCTGGAGTTGAGGATGAACTGCCTTAAAATGCTGTGTTAATGATTGCAATTCAGGAAGCAAGAGTGGGCAGCTGTCTTAGCTTAAGCTGATTTGACTTTTTTTAAAACTAGAGTTGTGTTTCACTTGCTACAGTGGTAATTGCAAGTTTTCTGGTTTAATTTGTATGACTTAACTGGGTCCTTTGACATGTGACGAGAGAATGGAACGGCCTTCAGGCTGTTTACAAAGTCATATCGTTTGGCTGTATTTGGAATAATTTCTTCACAGCAGTATGGACTTGAGGTTTTTCAGTGCTGTGAATAAAATGCTAGGCAATACAGTGCAATCATCACCTGCAATGTTAATGGTTACACTGCATCATCTTGCTGGGACTTGCTGCTTGCTTCTTTGTGGAGGCAATATCATTGAGTATCCCTGGTGCTGGGGAACCTGAGAGCAGGTGATCCTGTTGGCAAATGCAATAACGACTTAAAATATGTAATATTTAAAATGTATTTCCTATCAGTTATGTCACTTCTCTGCCCCTGTTTCCCCAAGTAGAATGCACTTTCCACTTGGAGTAGCTCCTGTCATGCAAAATACAACTTTCTTCTGATAAATGGGAGTTCACGGTGAGTTATGCATAGTGAAGGTGTGCAGGCTCAGTGGAATTTGTTATGGCAGTAAAATCTGTAGGTGGCAAGGTCATGGCCATGGGATTAACCTGCATTCAGCAGTACTTTCCATGGAAAGGTGTGCTCGGTGAACATTTGACTTTTAAAAGCTGGCAATATTCAGCTCTCCTTTCTGTGAAGGTCTTAAAAGTGGCGGTAATATGCACCCTAGCCAATCCCTTCAGTTCTGCGTTCAAGAGGGCTTTTCTTTGGGAATAGAATGGGGAGGCAGGGGTGCAAGCTGACCAGGCCTTCAATAAACATGTTTTAATTTGTGACAATTTATTAGAGCACTGAAACTGAGCAGTGGTCTGTTGCCTGAGTGTATTCTCACCTGTGAGATGTGGTTGTGGCAGCTTAGAGTGGTGATGGGACGTTGGTGATGGACATGAGCTTACTGCATGAGCAGAGCCCTGGTAGTAAGGAGTTAAAATTTGGAGAGGAATGAACTGAGGTCAGCAGCACAATCAGTCTGTTCAGTAAATAATTTTCTTTGTATACTTACTCCATTCTTTCACTCATTATTTGCTCCACTTATTCTTTTCCCTTCCTACACACACACACACATGCGTGCAGTCACACAGTTTCTCTGGCTTTATTATTCTCTCTCGCCCTAGTTATTGCCTTTCAGTGGCCACTTGTCACTGTGACCCTCCCTTTGCCCAAGGCGCTGTAGATGATAGGTTTCCTGTGCAGGAACCACCCTCGAGCTGGGATGGACACCTCTGCTCAGCTTTGGACATTCCGGACTGCTTTCTGGCAGCTCTTGTGAGTCTGCTTGCACTGAGCACTGCAGTAGTTACACAGAATGCAGCGCACAGGAGGGAGAGAGCTGTGCAGCCAAACACAGAGGAATTAGGAGCTCTTTCCTATCTCTTCTTCCCCTGTGGTGGCAGGCTGTGAGCTCTTGGGTGAGTGAGCATCTGATATGTGGCATGCTTTGTTCCAAAATTCAGGGGGATGTCTGTTAAATCACCATGCTGTTACTGAGAATTTGGGTGAATATGGGACGAAGCTTTGGTTAACGGCAGAGTCTGCAAAATACAGCAGGCTTTCGTGCTGGTGCCTGGATGCAATGCTATGAAAAGAGAAAGCTTCAGAGTCTCGAGGATCTGAGGATCCACAGAAACCGACAGGAGGGAGAGTAGGATTTTGGAGGGTGAGTGACCTTGAGTGTCCGTTCCAGTGAAACAATGTAGGTGTGACTTGTGTTTAGGAAAATATTTTCTGGGAGGCCCTTTGTTTGGGTGGGGACAGCTTAAGTGTTCTGTATCTCTGTGGAGATCCATTTTGATTTTTCAGTGAAAGTGTAATAGCTACATCTTGTCGCCTCTTTGTGCGGTATTATAAATGTTGCTGTCCTCAGGCTTCTGAAAGATGTGCCAAATCTCTTGTGGGTATTGAATTGGCTTAAGGCCTCACGAGCAAGAAGAAATAAATGTATAGCAGGCATACTGGAGCAATTGCATGGCAACTGTCAAGATGGCAGCCTGTGAATAATCAGGCATAAGTTTTGGGCAGGAGAGGGTCTTCGAGTCTGCGCAGCTTAGCGACCTGCAGCCTAATAGTTCTTGCATGCTGTTGGAGCCTCTGTGCTGCCTTCCTTTAGGGCATTGTTTCTTCCTTCAATCTTCTGAGATTTTTATGCTTTCCATTGTGTTTTCTTAAATAAAAAGGCAACTCTAGAAGCAAACAAACAAAATTCCTCTCTTGCTTGACTTGTGCTTTTCACTTAAAAATGGTTTTTCTTTCCAGCGTTATTAAAACCAGGACTTTTCTCAGCTAGACTGCAGCTGCAGAGCCAGTGGGGGAAAATGAGTATAGTGCTTTATTTGAGTATTTTTTTTTTTTTTTTTTTTACCTCTCTTGAAGTAAGTGTTGATAACAGCAAAGCTACAAATCTGACCATACTAAAGGGAGACAGGAGTTGGTTGTTTTCTTAACAGGCTTTATATACAGCTTTCCTATAGCTACATTGTTTAGTGAAGCGGGTTACTTTTTGGTAAATGGATGGGCCTTGAGACCTCAGGTCCTTCACATCTGAAACAAAAGAAGCAATCATCAAAGTTAAATGTCAAGGGGAAACAGTTAGAAGGGTGCATTTTCTAGTAGTGTCTTGGGCAGTGCTCCTGCCTCCAGCTGCTTGGTTTTTATCCTGAGTGCTGCTTCTTTTTCTCATCTTGTTGTCACCCAGGACAGCTGTCTGGGCACGCGTGAGAAGTCTAATCAGAAAACTGATCTGAGTTGAAAAGTAGCCTTGCTGGAAGGAAAGATAGCGAACCTGGTCTGGTATACAGTGCAGTCCCACAGTGGCTGTAATGGCACTAATGGTCAGGTGGGGGTGGCTTGCTGATGGAGTTGCTGTCTCTGAGACCAAAGTTCCCTGTTAGCTGGTGTCTGTTTTCCCTCATAGATCTGTAAACTTCTCAGTTGTGCTTGTGAGCTTGGCCACTTCTGCTTGTATCAGCTGGTCTTGTAAAGAAAAATCCCCTTCTCTATGGAGGAACCCCATAAAAATACTTGTAATGACAAAATATATACTAGTTGTTCATTCTTAATTATTACCAAATATGTTGAGAAACCTTCTGATAACTGAAGAAATGACTACATTTTCCTGTTAATTGGTGACTCAAAGCAGCATGGTGAAAATGATTAGAATGCTGTAACTGGGTTTGGGATTGTTTTAGTTTTTTTTTAAGAACTAATTTTTTAGATTAATGTTCAAGTACCATTTAGGTTTTGCTGAGATTCTTCTAGCCAAGTAGTTCCCCTCTGATTCTTTCAAAGGGCTTTGCACTGATCCAGGAGGGCTCTCTGTCCATCAGTGTGCCCTTAGGATGATGCTTTCAAATAAAATTAAGTGGGAGTCACTGTGTGTCAGGATCTGTTTAGGAAGTGGTAGGGTGAAATTAACTTGACCAAGAAAGCCAAATGGTATCCTGAGGTGCATTAAAAAGAGTGTGGCCAGCAGGTTGAGGGAGGTGATTCTCCCCCTCTGCTGTGCCCTGGTGAGGTCACACTTAAACTACTGTGTCCAGTTCTGGGCTCCCCAGTTAAAAAGAAGAAGACAGAGATCTCCTAGAAGGAGTCCAGTGGAAGGCCAGAAAGATGATAAAGGGCCTGGAGCATCTCCTGTGTGAGGAGAGGATGAACAACCTGTGTCTGTTCAGCCTGGGGAAAAGAAGACTGAGTTGGGATCTGATAAGTGTTTATAAATGTCTGAAGGGAGATAGGAGGCAAATGGATGAAACCAGGCTCTTCTTGGTGGTGCTTAGCAATGAGACAAGGAGCAGTGATCTAAAACTTGACATAGGAAGCTCCATACTAATATGTGGAAGAACTTCTTTACATAAGGGTGATGGAGCACTGGAACAGGTTGCTAAGTGAGGTTGCGAAGTCTCCTTTGATACTCAAAACTTACCTGGATGCCTGCCTATTGTAGGGAACCTGCTTTGGCAGGGGGGTTGGATTCACTGATCTCCCTTCTAACCCTGCCATTCTGTGGAAAACAACTTTCTATAAAGTCTCACCACACTTGGAAAATGAAACGAGGTGATCTGTCTCACTGCCTGAAGAAACTGAGTCCTAACCTTGACAGGTCCAAGTGTTACTCACATACACAAAAAGCCTCGAAGGGAAGTTTGAAAGGAAATAAATTGGAAAGGAAGGATCCATCCGTCTTTCCTGTTTCACAGAACTGCGCATGAAGCAGGGTGCAATGTGCAGGAGATATTCGCAGTTGCTTTTCTGTCGTTCTCCTGTACTTTGCTCTCTAGTTTAGATAGGCATTTGCAGCACTGCAGGATTTCTGTCTGTGACCTATTCTTATCTGGGAAAGCAGTGTTACCTTTTAAACCGGTGAGAATACCGGTGCTCTAACACTGCTCTGAAGTCCTTTCATCTTGATTGTTCCAGCCATTTTATAAAAGGGAAAAAAGCCTGTGTCCTTTTGGCTTTTGAAGGGAAATGCACGAAGCGCAGGGTTGTATTGTAGATGACCTTTGTGAGCTTAGACATGGTTAGGATAAGAATCCACATCACCTCCTGGGATCAGTACATTAAGAAGGAGACTTTCAGTGCCTGTGAATATACAAGTTTGAGGGCATGAAATAGCAACTTATGCAAATACTAATGAATCCTTACATCTGTTTTCACATATGCATAAGGGTATGAATTTGCAAGATAGTGTGGGTGTGAATAGATGCAGGCCTGGGAAAATTGTGATAGCTTGTAACTGTGCCACTTGGCACGTAGTGTGTATACAAACACATACTTACAAAACAGTATTCAAAGTAAAGTAATTTCTACCTTCTCTTCCCTCTGAAAAGAGTCATGAACCCTAGGTTGTTTTTTTTTTTAAAGTGTAATTTCTACTAGTGACAATCTTAAAGTCTTTCCCACTTTCTTATTTTGGTGACTTTCTGAATGGGAACCTGCACTATGTGATGCTGTCCGCATACCCGAGTACAGATGGAGGAGTGAATGGCATTGGAGTCAACCCAACAACTGTCTTCAGTGTGCTCTGTGATTTAGGATTGGAGTAACGGGTGAAGTTGGCAATTTCACTGGACTGCATGTTAGTAAAGCTACTTGTAGGGATGTATGCATTAACATTTTATTTATTCATTTTGAGTTTTGTGATTCATAGTAGTTTCGAAAAATACTTCCGAAATCAATAGCGTGTTTTGTTTGCTGCTATATCTACAGTGTTATTGAAGCCCCTCCTTGACACCTTTAGTGTTACTGAAATTTCCATTGTACTTTATGATCTCTCTGTGCTACTTTTATTCCTTTTACTTTTTTTTTTTCTTGTAGCAAGAGCGTGAGTGTTTGGTTCTGTAGCTTTCCTGTTGGCACAACTATCATTCTGCTGTAAATGTTGAAAGACTGCTGCTTCACGGGGGAATACAGGCACTGCGTGGATAATTTGAGAATTGGGAATACAGCCTTCTGCACTCTATGGACCAGCCCTGAGTTATTAGTTAGTTAGACCATTCTGTAATTTTGTATCATTTGATGCTCTTTCAGGAAACCAAGGAACGAGTATTTCTGTCTTTATTAACTTTGTCATTGTAATACAAAGTATGCAATTGAGAGACAAAGATGGACTTGATTGTGATTCTTCCATCTGGTGTCCTCTTCCTGCAAACCTCACAACTAAGGCTTTGTATGGGAACTGCTGAGTCACGGCCTGAACCTCTGATTGATCACCTGAGGCGAGCCATGAGTCAGCCAGAGGAGCACAGGTGGAGGCAATTCACTGTGCTGCCGGAAGGGATGGAGCCTGGCTGCACCCCTCCTAGGCCTATTGAAGAGCTGGCTACCAGTGGGGAAGGATCTCTTCTGGAGATCTGCTCTGCTGGTGTTTTGTGGTGAGCTCAGCTGAAGGGTAAGCTCTTCCATTTATTCTCTTTTTGTTGTCGTTGTCTACTTTGCCTAACTCTCTTGATTATATGGTGATTATAACATCTTGATATCTATTGATTATACAATTATATTGTGATTATAACATCTTGATATCTATTGATTATACAGGCTTTTATAAAAAAATAAAATAAAAATGCTATCTCTATGCATGTTTAGTCCATGAACTTTCTATAAATTGTCTAGTCTCCTCAGCTGACACAGGGAGCCATACTGAAATATGGAGTATAGTTGTCCTTGTACAATACTGCTTCTGGCAGCACTCACACATTCTGGTTTCATAAGGTGTCAGATAACAGATGGAAGGGGGAATAAAACAGCACCAAACAAACCTGGAGGCAGGGAAAATCAGTGCACGAGCCATTCTCATACAGTAGAAACTAGTGAATTAATAGGCAGTCAGATGCTGAATTGGTCTGACTTGGAGTCAATAGTTGAGAATCAATGCATGCTCATCCATTTTCCAAGGCAGTGCATGATCCTGTTG